CGTTAATTGCATATGAATAGATAGTCTCTATTGACAAAACTCCCTCGCTTTCTAAACAATACTCTCTTAGACTACTTAATAAATATTATTTATATGCAAACTCAAATGCACAGAAAATCCACTCACTGATAATTCCAAGAATTATTTGTTTGCTAAAACTTTATTTAATCTAAACCATAATTTCCTGGTTTTCTATAGGCAATAATTGAACACTGTAGTGTTTCTGTAAATGAAGCCACAAGAAGTGACTATCACACATGTATAAAATTTTTTAGTGATTCGAAGGTACATTAAAACATCTTACATTAACCTTTTAACAAATGTTAATTAAAACCACGGCTGATTCTAAACATTCCTTTAAATGGCTCAGGATGACACTTCAGCAAGTTTAATTCTCCCTGGCTGCAGTTTGTTTTTAACCAGCTGTGAGGTGGCTGCCCCACAGCTCATTTTGTGGGCTTTAAACTTTTCAGTTCCAAGATAACTGGCACGTTTTGCCTTGTAGGAAGAGGAAGTTGAGTTTCCCACCTATTGTTTAGGAAAGATTTCATGTTGAATATGTTGGGGAGGTAATTGTGCTTACAGCAAACCTCCAGTTCAACCTGACTGACTAAATCCAGCTCTGATTTAAAATCTAAACCTGGATGAGCTCTACCATTATGAAATGATACAGTAAAAATATGAAGTTTACTTGTGTTAAGACACTTTTTTCATTAAACTGAATAATTGTTTTAATCTGGAAAAAAATCATTACAGATTACTCCAGGCCAGGCTCCCCTAATACTTAGGAAACAAAACATCAATACAGTTTTTAGGTTTATATATTTTCCAAAGTGTTACTTCCCTGTTAGAATTATTTCCCCTCCTTGAAGCAGTGAACTGATTTAGGTGAATTGTCTTGTCACTCTTTTCTCCATTTTGACCCCTCAGTCTATAATTCTAGATCCCAATGAGGTTTATCTTCTCCAAAAGATTTTCTGCTTTCATGTTTTAACAGAACAGTAAAAAACCATAGTTCTTGCTCCATTTATGCTTTTTAGAAACAAGCAATGTATGAAAAATAGCACAGGGTTATTTCAGAGGACAATGTAAAAATAGAAGAAATTATTTTGCTTGATCTTGGACTTTTCCCACAAGAAAAACTAAGCAAAGTGTTGATACATGAAGTAATGGTAATTAGTTAATAATTGATTCTCTTTTTTCCCTTTACCTTTCAATATCCTATTCCATAGAATGATCAGAACTTTTTGCATTAATACTTCTGTTTTTTCCCCAACATTTTATATTCCAGGACACAACTGCTCAATGTTAATAAAACACATTTTTGTCTCATAAAACATGTCTCGTGTTTTCTTCCAAGCCTGAAAGAACTGGAGATGATCTGTACAGAGAGAAAGAAAAATGTTAACATTGCTGCTAAACACTGTATTCCAGTTTTTAAACATACAATTATTATTATTATTCATATGTGCTACCCTAGTTACAATTTTTAAGAATATAGTACATCTTTTTGATTTAGAGTCAAATCCCAACAGTAACTGTGGATTTAAATAGGGTGTTGAAGGTCTCAGTAAAAGCTACTCATTTTTCACTCTTTCTCTGTCATCCCTGGTGTTTTAGGCACCCAGCACCTCTGTTTTATCTGACTCTGACCGTGCAATTCTGTCACTGCCTGCAGTTCTGCAGGAGGAAACTGAAAAGCTGTTTCTCCACACTGGGACTTTCATTTTCCCCTCGAAGGTCCTGGAGGCTTTTCCCCTCTATTCTGCACATCTCCCCACAGCCCCATGAAAGAGCTCACAGCTTATCTTGCTGTGGGACCTTCCCCAAATTCTTTAGAAAATATCTTTTGAAGTTCGTATCTCCCAGCACAATTTGCTTCTCAAACATGATTGAACAGTTCAAAATAAACTCCTTTTATTTACTACAAGGCTTCCCTTGACCACACCCAGCACTAGAGATGTTTCTATTTATCCTGCTTTTGTACATCTTCACAGCTTTTCACAAAAACTGTGAAAAGTGTAATACCACATGTATAATACCACAGCAATTTTCTTAATAAACCACATTTCTATAACTGCCCATGGCCACTCAAAGCACAACAGAACCAAGCTGGGCATTTAATGGAACTTTCCTATTTTATTTATTTTGTCTACAAAGAAAGCTCTATCACAGTGTTTATCATTTCTGTACATGACACAAACCCCTAACAAAGAAGAATTCTGCAGTGCAGGGAACGAATAATTATCAGTGGAGTAGCTTGAAATGTCTCTCTCCGTAGCCTGTACTTCAACAAGCAGATTTCTGGGTGGAAATAAAGTTCATTTTGATGGAAATAATGCACATGGTGAAGGCATCAGTAATGCTAATGAAGCGCTTCCAGCAGATGGACAAAAATAGGCTTGATTAAAGCTAAAGATCATGGTACAAAATCTTTGTTCAAATTGCTCAATGGAAGAACAAGATAAAAACTTGTGGAATGTTCACCCATGGTCATTGCCTATTCAGCATATTAATAATAGCTGCACTTACTAGAAAGAGAGGGATTTTTACTTTGTATTAAGTGTTCTGCCCTGTGGGTAGCTCATATCATTTATTGGGGGTGTATGGAGGGACTTCCGTCACCACACCTGGACCAGAGGTTTTTCCTTTGCTAACTTTTCCTAAGCTAACTCCACTAAAGCCTATTTTTGGGGACAAGAAAGAAAGGGACACATTTTACAAGTGTGTCCTTTTACAGGAGCTAACAGTGGGATTATTTAAACAGCTTCTTTCAAGGGGGATATACCAGTGGTATGATGCAGTTATTTAGTATGCAAACTAATTTTATTATATAATTTCATCATGTTATTTAAATGACTGACAGAGGTAAATACCTTGAAAAGCAGGTATTGCAGCTTTGAGGAATGAGAAGAATTATGCTCAGCAGGGATGTTTTTAGTGTACTCCCTGTGTTGATTTTGGTTCACTCAATATTTGGGTTTAACTTAAGTGTCTTTAGTAACTTTCACTGAAATCAACTGCATGTTTATCTTTTGTGAGGGAAAAACCTGACTCTGAAGTCACATATACATCCTTGTCATCCAGCACAGTTCCAGCAGGATGTGACTGTGTAAAATACTGACAGAAAACAAGGATCTGCTCTTCTTCTACATTTTAGGTTGTTCTGAATTATTCTTCCTTTTGTCTCTGTTAGTTCCTTAAATATTGCTCACACTGAACTTACTTGTGAAAAGCAATAATCAAAATTCTTTGCTTGTTCACTTAGTCCTTTTTCTAAAAGAATGAAGATAGCATGTGCTAAAGTAGTGAGAAGCAAGATTAACTCTGATCTTGTCCTGCACATGCACAATTGTCTATTTTTGATCACACAAGTGGCTGAAGATGAGTTGGAGGCTTGGCCCAAGAGAACACACATTAGACTTGATTTAACGTAAGAAGAGGTGACTCTCAGGGTGGCAGTGGTTTGTACTGCCCTCACTTCATCCACATGCAGATTTGGTTAGCCTTAGTGTTTTTTGTGATACAAAATTAATAATAAAGAAATTAATAATATAAATTAATAATAAAAAACCCCTAGTTCTCTGTCAGGTCAGTCTGCTGAGCCAATCCTCACCTGTAGTGTCCCCAGCTCTGGCATTTATGCTGGGGACACTACAAGTGAGGATTGGCTCAGCAGACTGATGAGCACAAATGTGGCAGTGAGAGATTACCAGTGCTATTCTCTCACCTTTAACTCTCCACTACAAGTGCTCTGGTCCAGGAGATGTGACAGTTTATATTGTGAAAATTGGCAGGCTTTTTATCCTTTCCTGCTGCCACCCTGACTTAGGGACCAGCTCTGAGCACCTGGCTGCTCCAGTTCTCAGGCATGTGGTTGAAGATCAATAGAAATTGTGCAAAGAGGGCAAAGTCCATAGGCTGGGGGCAAGTTAAGCTCATCAGCCATATCAGTGGATATTATTGCCCATTTCTGGGTCAGAACTCTTCGTCATCATGTTCTTTGAGTCTTCAGTATGAATCCAAAGATGCCAATGCAAAACCCTCTCCTGCACAGATCTCTCTGGAGGAACGTGACCCCAGGCACCTGGCAGGTGCTTGTTCCATTACAGGAAGGTGACACAACTCCAGTGATAAGAACGGGACAAAAAATGCAAGTTTCATGTGTAGGAGAGTACAGGTTCCATTTGCAGGAATGGTTATTGTCCATTTTTTTGAAGAACATGGTGCTTTTGACAGTCTTAAAATTTCAGAATATAAATGGTATGGAAATCTGGGGATGAAATTGTCCAAGGAGAACACAGCAAGAGAGAGTTAAAGTCCAGAGGAGAGATCACTGCAATCTTCACAGAGAGCTGGAGAGAGGTGAGACTGTCCACAAGAGGCTCTGAAAGAGAACCAGCAGCAGCAAGAGGGAGCTCAGGGCTGGGGGTGGCTGTGTCACCTGCTGAAGGTGTCTGATGGCACAGGGAAGGTCAGGGTTCCAGCTGGACCAGAAGCTCATTCCAGACTTCACTGAGTGCTTTCCCTGCAGGCTAAAGGGGTGCAACTGGCATGGAGCTCTCTGGCCTTTGTCTCTGCTGGAATTTGGGGTTCTGTGATGTAAATGGTTGTTGCTTGTTGGGGGGATTTTTGCTGTAAAGTTTCCTTTTTTCCTTTTCCATGTATAATTCTGCTCATGGAACGTTATTAGCTGGAAGTTACTTCAGATTTTATTTTGTCTTTGGTACCACTTTAGAACATTAGGACTGCTGTGAAAGGAATTTGATTCTTTTGTTTCTGCCTGTTACCCTTTCCTGTCTCCTGGTGCTTTTGTGCACACCAAATGCTCATGTGACTGGTGTTAAGGGGATTGCAAAAGTGATCGGGGTTAAAATTTCCCTTGCTTGAAAAAAAAGGCTGATTTTAGCTCAGTCCCTTGTGCCTGCCTATCGTGTGCTCTCAGAAACGCCTGCAGTGGTACAAGAGGAGGGTCTGGGGAGGAAGAGAAGTGAGAAGCCCCTTCCCACCCAGGAGCCACCTCCGTGCTCTGAGCTGGCCCAGCCTGGCTGCAGAAACGGCCCCGCTTTGAAGAACAGCTGTGAGAAGGCTGGAAACCACAACCAGAGGAGGGAACAAGGCAGAATTACAGCCTGAGCTGGGCTTTTTGGTGCTTTAAGGATTAAAAAGGGGAAAATGTTAATAAGAAATTAAGTGAAAATAGGCACAACTTAATGAAAGGTATCTACGTAGCAATGATAATGCTTCAGCCAGGAAAAACTCTTTTTTTTTTTTAATCTCCCAGGAGTTTTGTGTGGCCAGCAAGGATTTTCCAGGTGTTTTGTTAGCAGGTGAGTGTGCTGCTCCTGATGAAATAACTTGTTTAATCCGCGTTCTGCTTTTAGGTTACTGCTTTATGCTTTGAAGCTGCTGGCATTTCATGTTTGTGTTGAGGGTGCCTGAGCAGAGCCCCAGGCAGTGATGGAGGCTGTGTTTTAGCAGCACTCTTGGCCTGTATTTGTAATTATACAAGGCCATGGCTTTTGTCTCATTTGCATGGGAAATATCAGCATCCAGTCTTTTTATAGCAGCAGAAGAGCTTTCCTGCATTTAATTACTTTTAGGCCAATCAGTTGAAGTCAAGAGGAATGTTTTTGTTTATTTCTGGTCCTTTTTGCATCGTATTGTAGTATTTAAAATAAGCTCATGGGTTTAGGTCATCCTGTGAATTCAAAAGGGCATTTGTGGTTTTGTTAGTTATTTCTTTTTTTATTTATGAACCTAGTGTAGTTGTAAACCAGTTTTTTGAAACTCTTAAGTAATTAATAAAATCCCGTTGTGTTATTATGACTCAAATTTCTCTTTGTGCTCTACTAATTTAATCCTAGTGTAATCTGATTAGCCACGGTTAACCTGTTAAATTAACTCTTGAAATTATTTTTCCAAAGTCAATCTTTGCTTTAACAAACCCATTTATTCTCTCCTTCATAACAAATGCCTGTCCCAGGCCAGTATCCATAGCTAAGGATCTTCTTAGAGCTGATTCTGTAGGTGGCTTCCAGAACATCATGGCTTTTTCTCTGTAAACCAGTGTTCCTTGAGGTTTTTTTCCTAGCAATACAAAACTATATTTATTTCTAATTGGCATCTGGTTAAACAAGCCCTGGCTGCAGTGTGCTGCAACAGGAGAAGGCAGAATAAATCTTGATACAGAGCAGTGCCCAAAATTCCCTTTGGCTGGGCTGGAGGGACACAGGGTGACACCGCAGGGCTCAGGCTCAGGACTGCTTAACTTTTTTTAAAAAAATTCTTATCTAGATTTGCCTTCTGATAGAAAATTCAGTAATTCCAGGCTGCAGGGCTCGGGTTTGGGTCTGAGGAGTGTTTGGGAGGTTTCATCTGAGATCACAGAGTCCCTTAATGCAATTACATGGGCACTTGGTCATGGTGACCGACTCCAGGTAAAAATGTTCTGGCCCTATGAATGTTTAGATAAGGGAGATGACATAATTGTGAGCAACTCCCAGTTTCTATCAACTCAGAGGTTATTTTAAGTTTTATAATGGGTTCTTTGGTTAATTGGGGGGTTTGGGCCTTGCATTAGTTATGTCACATACCCTGAAATCCTTAACAGTGCATTCCACAGATTGCAGTAAAATCTTATTTATTGTTATAGGAGAGGTAATCAAGTAAACATTCCTCTGCTGCTAAATATAGCAGCAAGCTGCTTATGAGTCAGAACCCCAGCAGATAATTCTGCATATCAGTGAAAACTTTGTTGGCTCTTTGTCGTGTTCCTTATGTGAACAAAAAACAGCCTGGATCTTCCTTGTTCTTCCCATTCCAGGAAACATTTTGCAGTGTTCACTGTAGTGAGGTTATGTTTGTAAGGGACCCCACAGCTGCATCACGTAATTGTTCTGGAGCACAACACAGCAAACTTGGAGATTTACAATGTTACATCCATTGTTGATTAGTAATTAATCTTTCAAGTATTCAAAAATATAATTTCCCTGCACAAGAGCAGTTAAGGGCAACGTATTGGATAAACACATCCAGTGTTTAAACAGTGACAAAAACATCCAAAACTAGAAGTATATGATTTCTATAGCAGTTTTAAAAGTCTTTGGATGTTGTTCAGCTTTTTAGGTGGTGTATTGTAAACTCACATTAGTAAATAAAGTGGTAGATAATATTAATTAATATTCATCATTTCTTCCCAACAACAATAACTTGGGAAAAAAACCTTCCTGTTCTTTGTATATCACTTGCCCAGTAAATTTTTCTGTTTTAATATGATCTATGATAAACAAAAGGAGCTGCTTGGCAGCAGCTTGTTGGAATTGCTTCAGTGTGATTGCTATGTTATGTCCAATGCTTCCACTTATTTTTGTACAAATATTCTTATATTAAGCTGGCATAAGAAGCTTGTTATCATCTCAGCTTAGTGGAGCAGAGTACTCTGTGTGTGAGCAGCTGGGCACTTGACTGAGATGGAGGAAACCATTTTTTCTTGTTCCTGTTCGAACCTTGGGCTTTCCCTGTGTGGCTGCCCTGGCAGATGGGTTTTATCCATCCCATAATGTTCCACAGAAACAACAGGACAATCAGAAGTGACTGGCACGTTCAGAAAGCAAACGATGGAGTTCCCAGTGCCCAGCTCTGTGTGGGAGAGGGAAATGCCCAGTTGTGAGCAGAGCTCCAGGGCTTCCCTCTCAGGTGGGACAGCTCAGTGCCTTTTGCTGCTGGTTTCTGCATCTTTATTTACTAATTAAGTGCAGGAAACACAATGAAATAATTACTATTAAATAACTCAGTTATTTAATGTTAGGTCCTGGGCTAATGTACTTAGAACTGAAGCTAATGAAGTGTTCAAGTGAGGCACAGCAGCCAGGATTATGTTAATCTGGGTTTAGTGACACAAGCATGAGAATTTTAGAGCTTCTTTTTCAGAATCAAGTATCCTGTTCTGAAAACTGAACAAAGGAATAGAGGGGTTTGAGTCTCTAAAATGAAATACATCAAGGGCATTAACATTTGCCTGTAACACATTCCTAAGATGGCAGCTCCTTTTTTGCATAATAAGATGGCTTAAAAAAAGGATATATGCAAAAACTGTATTGCTTGAAATGAAATATCTGCTTCTAAAACATACACTTTAATTATTAAAAATGTCCAATCTTTTTGGTTGTAGAATTTTTTTGAGGAAAGAAGTGGTCCAGGTAGTTAGTATCCATAGCATCTTTGGTTTGTTTTAGTTTGGGGGTTTTTTGCCATATAAAGGTCTTCATAAACAACTGTATCATGTTTGTATAGTGTCCTCTTTAGAAGTCAAAGTAAGATTCCAAAGTAGTTCTTGTATTAATTAGTCTTGCACTGATGACCACAAGTGCTATTCAGATGTACAGGGTTATTATTTCTGCCTGTCTGTACCTTAAACTTGACTGGACTTTCTATTCAGCAGGCAAATGCATGCTTCGTACAAATGAGAACAAGCTGAAACACTAGGCAGGAATTATTCATTATACTGATAAAGGACAGGCTCCTTTAGGAGGCTCCTTAGTGGTGCATTGCAGGAATGTGCTCAGATGTGGAGCTGTGAGCAGCTCACAGGGCAGAGAAAGCGCTCGGTGGTTCTGGGTTTGCACTCCCTGCAGCAGCACTGCCTGTTCTCAGGAATGTTCTGGCGCTCATTTTCCTGAGCCTTCCCAGCCAGCAGCCCTGAACGAGCTGAAATTCACCCGATTCATAACTGATAACGAGAAATCTTTTACCCTCCTATTCTTACCCTGTCTCAGAGGTGGTTTTATCTCGGAGTTTGCACCTGCCTGACATCACTGACCTGTTTCTTTTCATTTCTGTTTCTCTGGTGTGAAGTAAAAGCTGGGTGCACTGCGGCACTAGGGGGGTGTTAGTCACGGTGGGGCAGCGCTGCTCTGCCCCTCAGATCTGTTCCACCTCCTGCCTGCTTCCCAGCAGCTGCAGGGCTGTGGGAACAGTGCTGGAAGATGAGGCAAGGGAGAAGAGAACAATGGGAAAACCTCATCTTTGAAGAATCAGGGATCCTGGGAATATGTGGGCTTCCCACCCAGCCCTTCTTTTTACAAACTGGCTGCAGTTCACTCTTTGTGCCTCAGAGCTTTTCCAGTTTGCAGCTGATGCTGCCTTTCCCCATTTCATCAGGAAACTCACTGCATTCTGCCTTTCATGAGAGCAGTTCTCTTGTGAAATGGCAGCGGTGATTTGGAGACTTCATACAACTGTCACACCAACTCACTTGACAGTGATTGTGGCGCCATAAGGGCAGAGAAATGAGGTCTACTGGGGAAAAATACCTTGATTTACAGGCGTCCTAAGCACAGGCTAGACCTGTGTGAACAGTGCAAACAAGTATTTATAGGAAGAGAAACCATATGGATTTTATATAAGCTTTCCTGGGTTTCTTTTTGTTTGAGTTTGGTGGTTTTGTTTTGTTTTGGGTTTTTTTTTTTTGTTTTGTTTTTTTGTGGGATATGTCAGTACGTGTAACCAAGTGTAGACAAACTGAAGCTGTTGTTAGTTACTGATGAATAACGTGGCCACAGTTAGCAGAGAGCAGGAAGCAGCTTTTTGTCACACTTCCTTTGGGGGCTGCTGTGTCACCACACATCAGCAGAGCTCTGGGGCACACCCAGGGCTGGCCCTGAGCAGAGGGGTGGCAGCAGCTCATTTTGGGCTGCTGGATTCACAAATTATGGGGTTTGACCCGTTATTCAGCTTCTCCTTGTGCATATACAGGGCTAGAAGGAAGCTTTCAGTCGTGCCAGTGGTGTTCCTGCAGATGGAAGGGTTGCTGCATAGCAGATCTTTGAGTAATGCTGTCACATGAGGAAGGATTAAGTGCTCTGGTTGCTGCATGATCAGTGAAGATGTTTTCGTTTTAATGAAAAAGTAAATATAGACAAATTACTGCTTTTAAAAATGTGAGCTCTTAAGCAGCAAAGTAAGAATAAACTTAACTTAAAGCATTGAAATTACTCAAAGTCTGCTTGAAACAATATTTTTCAATTGATGACAAATAAAAGTTCATGGAACACTTAAACTTAGGTTCCTGAGGTAGCAAATAGTTGTGGCTGAGGGCCTTTGAGTCATGCTGTAGATGTGTGGTGAGCAGTCTGTATAATCTCTGTGGGAATTCTGGTTCTGCTGATCCCTTTTGGGCACCTCTGAGCTGATGGCTGTGCTTTGAAGCTGCTGGCAGCAGTGGCAGGGTTTGTAACGGCTTGGGTTTTGTTTTGGAGTCCTGCATGGAGCTCTAAATGAGTGGTGAGTGAAAGGGAAGTACTCAGCACTTACTGCCAGTATCCTTTAA